AAGCAGAAGTTTTTCGTGAATAAAAAAGATGATGATAACGAACAGTAATCGAACTCAAAAAATCTACAAACAATACAAATCTGTGAAAAAGGCATAAAACACGGACCGCAGGAAATTTCAGAGATGGGATCAGGTGCCTAGGAGGAGCATGTCTCCCCCTTGTCCGGTAACACCCACAGAGAGAGGTAAACAGAATATTTCGCAAGTCAAATTTAGTTTTAAAAAAGACCTAACAATTGGTATGACAAACGTCAGTCAAAATACGACCCAATGATAGGCTTTATTTGTTAACAAGGTCATTATAAATAAAGACCATAAAATTTACGAAATGCTGACTTTAATGAGGAGGGTGAAGATAACGAATAGTGATCAATCTCAAAAATCTACAAACAATGAAAATCTGTGAAAGGGCATAAACACCGACACCCCCCCCCCCCCGGAATTTCAAGAGGAAGGTGCCTAAGACGAGTCAGCATCCCCTTTTGACAGATCACGTGCGCCTGAGCTCTATGTATTGGCCAGATAAACAGAACATTCCATAGTCAAATTAAGTCGAATTCACAAAAAAAAACTGTAAACGAAGATGTTGAAATCTCTGTAATATTACTTATCTGTCAGTAGCCTACCTAGTTCAAAATTTCATCCTACTCAGAGCATGCTCTTGAGTATCGAATAAGTTGAGAAATGTAAAAAACATATTTAGGTTCGGAATATTCCTACATAAATAAGGAAAGTTGGAAAAGCTGAAGTCGTCTCGTTTGTCTTAGTCGTCAGTTGGCCTTTATCGTCTATAGTCAGTAAAACATCAAAATAAGAAAAAGATTTGGAAGACTCTGTAGTGTCTTTTATTTCAGGTTCATTTGGATATATCGAGTCGACAAATGAATGGAAGTAATTATTGTCTATTGGTAAATCGTCGTCGAAATATCTGAATGTCCACTGAAGAGCATTGAAGTCCACAGCTAGTGTTTTCTTCTTCTCATGTAGAAGTTTTTGAATAAATTCTGTTTCATAGAAATATAAAAACAGGTCGGATAAAAGAGCAATTAATGCCAATGATATCGAAATTTCAACAGTTTGTTGGAAAACCTGGTCTACGAAGACTACATAAATTTGTCAATTTGAAATAATTTGCAATTTTTTTCTAGGAGGCACTTTTGATTCAAATGCACAATAATTACTATTTAATAGATTAAGAATATTGTATCAAAATATGCAGCATTGCCTGTTTGTCAGTTGTGTGTGTCCTTATCATAGCCTAGTCAGAAAGTATGCTAGAATCACATCTAAAACGTTAAGATTACTGTAGGCTTTGACTCGGAAATGAGCAAAAAACAATCACTGCTTAAAGTTGCAATGTACTGTTAAATAATTTTTATTCTAACTGACAAAACGCGAATAAAAGATGTTGCGAAGAATTGTTTTACAGTATTGAAAAAAAACATAGATAATGATGAATATCTTATGTCAATGGTCAAATGGAAAACATTTCTTTTACATCCAGGATTCAGAAATGAATATATAGATCTAAAACTGAAGGGAAAAAACTCGGAATAACAAAATATGCGCTAATATTAAAATAGCTTATCGGGAATCTATGCATTGAGACGTCACGTTATTTACCCCAATTCTCAATTGAAAAATACAGGACCCGTACCATGATAAGTCAATTAAGCCCTGTTTGATTAATTTATCTTGAACAAGCAGACAACTCAGTCCCTCTAGGCAATTTTATTTAATCTATTCTGGAGAGAGGGGAGTCAAACATGGTTAATAATCAACCAAAGGTTTATCTCTAGATTAAAGGTTGAATTGATGTAAAATAAATGAAGGCAAGAATAGATATCTTTTTAAAGCGAACAAATGCCTGGGAAACTCATTTCTTTGAGATACAAAGTACACTACCCTGTGTCATTTATTTTTTTTTATTTTCGGCTGATTTGCATTGCTGGGTATTGTTCCACGTTCTGTAAATCAGAACCAATTTAGTGTATAGAAAAGCTAATGATTTGAGAAAAGTTTCAACGATATCAGTTGATATAAGTTAAAATGATAGCATTTGAACTGAAATGAAAAAGTAATAAATCGAAGTAAAACAGAACAATCGCCAATAATCGTTAGTTGATCATAACCTTAGAAAATCGTACTATAGATAAGATAGATGATTAAGCTAAGTGCAAAATTGTTCTGATTATGATTAATTATAAAAATATATGTAAAGTATAAGATAAAAGGGTGCTATGCCTTCAATTCCATTCATGTGAGTTTCTTTTAAGTGTACCAACATGGTTCTAAATTCAAATTTTTGAGATTTTTTCTTATAAATATACAACTTTATTTTTTTTTTCACGTGTAAGTCAAACCTTTCCAAAAAAAAAATAAATAAATAAATCCAAAATAAACTAATGTTTAAAATAACAGAATTTGGGAATTGAAACCTTTAATTTTGGATCATCTAATAAAATTTGCTGACATTATCAAGACGAGCCTGTTTCTTTCGCCTTTGAGGATTTCAGAGATAAGAGTCGATTGTACTGTAGTCGTGTAAGCCCAAATCCTGAACTGCTAAGAATTGCGTTGCATGATGCAACCCTGGATGGCAATATATGAGCAGTGTTACTGAGAAAGCCTTTACGATCTTGGAAAAGCAAGAAATAGATAGGACGGACTAAAACTTCGCGAACTTTCTTAGAAAGACGTGGAAACAGCTAGGGATGTCAATTTCACTCAGAGAGCATAGTTATAGAGGGTCTAAGTTTTAACACCAATAGACCAGCTGAAAAAAATCTCTCAATTTATTAACTAAAATCTAAAATTAATATCAAATGGTACATTTTTAACGATTAACGGTAAAATAAAGTTTTAGTCGATAGTCGGTATGACCGAGCCATGGTCGAGTATTCAAACACTCGTTGACATCCCTAGAAACAGCTGTAAGAGACAGAAACCAATAAAATCAATTAAGAAACCAATGGAAAGGTAAAAGTAAAATAGTTTGGAGTCGCTCACTATATGACTTTGATTGATGATCATTTTTCCACCAAACAGCTAGACCGCGGGCTGGAGAGAGAGGGGGAGGGAGAGAGAGAGATTTCCTGCATTGCATAACAATCGAGAACACTGACAACACAGACTGGCGTAATTGTGTTGTAAAGTGCAAAATTCTTTCATCTATTTCACAGGAATTTGTGCATTTGACTTGTCTTCCTCATGATAATACATCATACGGTAAGGCATTTATCAATCTGTCGTCATCAGAAGTGGGAGTGTGCAATGAATTAAATTGATTCGACCCCTAAGTGTACTAACGACTAGTGAATGGATTTGCACAGGAGTCTATGTACATTTATTCAGATTCACATTCATCAAATTAATCGCAATGCACTTGTAATCAAAAAAAAATAATTATAATACGATTTTCATGAACTCTTTTCTGTTTTTTTAGTGCAATTGAATTTATGGATTTATTTATTCGGACAAAGTATGCATCAAACAAATTCTGAAACAAATAAGCATTTATTTGCATTGTTAAATGATGTCATATATCAGTGTTATAATTTTTTACAGAGTTAAACTTCTTGAAGAATATGATTTCAGTACTTCTCAAAAACGTGTGTCGACATTTTAAAAGTATGGAATTATAGGATTCAAAATGACAACGAAGAATGTCCGTAAAAACTATAATAATTGGGATATGAAATGTATAAAACTGTATTGACTAATTAAATTATAGAGAAGGGTGTATTCTTTCAAAAATTCCATTAATGATGGGACAATTACATCATATAGATGCAAAAAATAGATCACAAGCTTCAGAAATAACACAGCAAATAATGCTGGAATAATAATAATTTTTGTCACTTGTATACCAGCATTTATTATTCTGCCCTGGATAAGAAGTGAAATGTTTCCTAAATTTAGGTCAAGTTTGATTCACTCTATGTTTGGTAGGCAGAAATGAAGCAGTAATTATGAGATCCTATTGAAATCAGTAAGCATGGAATATTTTTCGCTTAATATATCCTTCGCAATTCTGTCAAGTAAACATCGCAATTTTTATTTTTATCAATATATTTTCAGTAAACTTTTGCTTATCCAATTATTGTATGAAGTAGTTTCAATATGCATTACACACACAGATTGCACAATTGTTTGGACAACGTGCTCGTCATTGTAATGAATCATCATCCAGTTTTACAAATGGCGAATGATTTATGCTTAGTTGAAAAAAATATTTATGACAACATTGACGAGGATTTGGAAACTGACAGATTTCAATATTTCGAGGAATCATGGTTTTAAATCGTCTAGAACATAAAAAGACATGAACTTTCTTTTTTCTCCGCTGGTTTTATTGTCCTTGGAAATAAAGCCTTTCACTGAAAAATTCAACAACAGCAAAATAAAAAGAATAATTATTCAAAATTTCAGAAATGCATTAAAAGCTTATGAAAATTTTAGGAATCTCTTAAAAAAGAGTCGAGAAAGTATTGTACACATTTTTATGTTATTTCAAAACGTTTAACTCCCGTTAATCTAGTAAATCCATTAAAAGTATATTTCGGTTTCAACTTTGTTTTGCATGCGACAAAACAGAACCCTGTTTTACAAAAGAACTAATGAATAAGTTTAATATTTTTTTCTTTAGTCCATAATCTTGCCAACAATTTTGCGAGATTATACTTATATAAATTGAATTCCTCTTATTCACTTTAAACTCGCAATTTAATATAAAAAGGGATCAAACAATTTGCAAAGATAGATCTTGATCTTGATCGTAAGTTCTTTTGTAAATCGCGTCCCAGATATATATGTGCTAAATAATCAAATTATCTCAAGAATTTGAATTTAGAGCTCTGACAGAATATATTTTTAGTAACTCCAAACCTAAAACCAAAGGACTTGCATAGTAAATAGACAACTCATTAGGTTTTCTAACGCAACCATGCATATCTGTCGGAAAACACTTACGTATTGGTTTTTCCATTTTGCATTAAACAATTGGTATAAAATAAAGTATACAGTACTTGGATCATTGTAATTCAAAAAGCATGGAATATTTTATGCTTTTATCTCTGACCATTATATCAGGTAGGCATGGTAACGATAATTTTAATCATATAACTTGCAAAGCAATTGATGACCAAAGATTCTAGAATTTTACTAAGCATACTTAAATATGTGAGAAACCTGTATAGAGCTCTTATACCATGTTTATATCGCGAGCTTTACTCATAAGTAAATGATCTGCGTATGTGTAATTACACTCCTGTAAGCATATCTCGCTGGATGAATGCAAAAAAAAAGTACGCATGCATATTTGACTAATTAAATTATAGAGTCAGGGGCTGGCTCAAAACTAATCATATGCAAAAACAAATATTATGTGCTAAATGGTTCATGTGAGGTGTTTTCTGATTGAGAAAAATTTTCAGTAAGCCTTTCACGGATGAATTGATTAGTCTTTTTCTTAATTCTAAAATTCTCCAACCATTTTTATTCATTAAATTTTATAAGAACATCGTCTCTTACTAGATGCTCGATTGTGGTTTTCTTTTAATTTTGCGCTCCGTGAAGCATCATACTGTAATCCCAATGCTCTATACATATGAAAGAAATTTTGCGATCTGTGAAGCATCATACTGTAATCATAAAGAATTTGCTTTCTCCGGTATGAGACCATATTAATGTAAATCATGATAAAAAATAAATAAAATTCTACATTACACACGTATTTACCAAAAGTAGATAAAATCACGGGAACAGGCGTAGTAAAACTACTTATGCACACAGAAATAAATTTGCACATGAGTAAAGCCTCAGTCAGATTTCCCGTCCGATGACCGTAGACCGGTGGTAATCGGTGGTGTGAGCGATGCCCCAACATCAGTCCTCATCGGCCAAGTAAACCTTAACATCTTTCAAAGCAACAGGCATACCCCCGCCGATGATCGTAAGGCGAGTGACTCCAGGGGGAATCATCTTTTACCACCGTGGCACCGATTACCGGCCGGACATCGACAGGACATCGGATAATTTTCACCGATCATCCTACAATGCTCGGCCGGTGACGCTCATACATTTGTGAACATCGTTCGTACATTGGTCGACTATGGGCCAATGTTTGATCGAAACATCGACCGGTGATTGATCGCTCTCTGTTGCCCACCACTCTCCCCCGATGACCTCAGATTCAACGGACACTGGACGATGCTCGGCCATACATCGGCCGATCCTTGAAAGATGTGTTAATAATGGGTTGCCGATGAGGAGCAATGTGGGGCATCGGTGGAGACATCGCTGATTTTTAACTACAACTTATTTTCTCCCGATGACCATAACCGATTCGCCCGATGGCCTCAGTCACCGTCTGATTACTATGAGTGTCCGGCCGGCAACCACGCCATTTTTTTCAAAAAACGCATCGGTTGCCCATCGTATACCCTATCGCTGGAAAATGTGATTGATACTTAGATACTCATGAGTATGGATGCCGGTAGGTCCCAGGTAGGATAAAATATATTTTATCTGGCGGCCGCCACATAAATAACTGGCAGCCGCCATAAACTTATCTAGCGGTCGCCAAATATAATTTTCTGGCGGCCACCAGAAAGTTAACTTGCGACCTCCAGATAACTATCTGGTTGCCGCCATATAATTTTCTAGCGGCCGCCAGAAAATTATTTGGCAGCCGCCAAATAAGATTCTGGAGGCCGCCAGTTATTTATGTGGCGGCCGCCAGATGTAATATTTTCTACCTGGGACCTACCGGCTTCCGTACATGAGCGAATTCACACCAAATAAACACAGTATTACATGCTTGCCCGTGTAAAGCGTCATCATTATCTCTTGAAAGGCGATATATATCTGTGCTTGTTTTTAGTCTAAAACACGTTTAAATTATTTCAGGCACCCTTGCACAGAATTGCGACAATACTGGGATTCTGCATTGCATGGAACAGTTCCCAATTCAAGAATTTGTGAAAAAGTTCAATTCAACAACAGATTTTGAGACATTAAACATTGAAAATGCAGTGGATAGGTTTTGTAGGCAAGTTTGATAGCATTATTTAATAAAAGCCTGTAAGCAAGACCATCTTCAAAGACTAAATATCAAATTTAACATTTTTTTATGTTTCAGTATGCAAAATCAGTTAATTAGATGTATGGAGGGCTACGCTGCCAAATGTAAAATTCCAAACACACTTACCATGGATACCTCGTTGTCTGCTGGAAACTTCTTGTGTTCTGAGGGAAAAAGAGGTAAAGTGAATTACGTGAACTGATGCACATCATTCAACAAAATGAATGGCACCTTCGGACGACCATTAAATTCTAGATGGTCAGCTGGCAAATTTTGACGAGTCAGATTATTTATTTTCATACCATGGTGATTATTTACTTGCAAAATAACCAAGGACAGATTTTTCTTTTACTTTCTTACCTGGAAGTAGTTGCATTTGACATGCAACTTAAAAATGGAAATCTGCCAACTCGAAAACTCTATTTTGTAGGGATATAATGGGCATTTACTACCAGTCAAGGTCAAACATTTATTTCTTCCCAGTGGAGGGGGACATTTTTTTTCAACAGTTTTAAGTACACACTATTTCACCTCTGATGATTTTGGAGGTCCGTGTTTGCTCTGCTCCAGATTTGTATTTTTTTAATGGACTTTGAGCTTGAATACTGTTCGTTATCTCCATATTTCATTTCATATCTTCCAGCAACCCTCCCCTTCAGAATCAAATGATCGTCTCCGTAATGAAAATGTTTACTTCAGTTTTATCTTTTTCACTCATGCAAATAAATCAGATAGAAATTGAATATTTTTTAAAAATTAAATTAAAAAAGTTTCAATTCCACATATATAATTATATTTTTCTTTGTTTAATAGGTTTCATTGACAATTTCCAATGCATGGTGAACAAATTTCTAGTGAATCAAAATATTATTATGTATTGTACGGACGTCATTCCACAACTTATCGACAACAAAGATGACAAAACTGGTTCTGATGCTTCAAATGAAAAATGCAGGTAATTTTCCAAAATAAATAAATGAATAAAAGTTTTATATAATGAATCAATAAAGGTTTTGTATAATAAAGGTTGCAAAAGTCAAACACATCTACACATCATCATTTGGAAATTGCACTGATCAGCATTGAATAACTTTGTTTCATAATCTGCAGAGTTTTAGAGAAAATGATGGCTTGTATGGATGACAAAACCAAAGACCTGTGTGGTGGCGAAGCAGTAAAGTTTGTTCACTCTTATTTAGAAGCCACCACCAAACCATTAATGAAAGGTGTAACATGTAACAATGGTATGTATGTTTGAATAAAATGGGAAATTGTTTTCTTAGGATTAAGATGAAATTCCTCCCTACGAACGAGGACTTTCACATTCCTATATCAAATGTGATCAAAATGTTCTTCTACGTCTTGATATCTCTGAGTGGAAAAATTCAGCGTGAATCTAGAGTTGTCTGAGATTTAGCAGGACATTTCAATCGGAAAGTTTCTGAATTAAATAATTTGAAGTTTTGACACACACACACACACACACACACACACACACACACACACATATATATATATATATATATATATATATATATATATATATATATATATATATATATATATATATATATATATATATATATATATATATATATATATATATATATATATATATATATATATATATATATTTTCAACTGTGAAATACTGTGATTTATTTATTGAATAAAAGTTATATTCTCTCACAGTGTGAAGGATACCAAAAGTGATATTCTCTCACAGTATGAAAGGATATCAAAGTAAGTAAAAAAAAATAATTTCTGGCCTGTCATAAGACAGAGGTAGTAACTAACCATCTTGATAGAGCTAAAACTGCAAATTTCTTCCCAAATATATTGCTAAAATCCATGCTATGTAATGCTTTCAATCTCACAACTGTTAAGCTATGACGTCTCAACCGCTCAACTATGACGTCAAGCTTATGACACTGTGTTAAAAGACAGGGGCAAAGGGAAAATCAAAGAAAATGTAATAAACAGAAAATTCAATGCTTTGTAGATGAATATGGAATTTTGACATCTATATATATATATATATATATATATATATATATATATATATATATATATATATATATATATATATATATATATATATATATATATATATATATATATATATATATATATATATATATATTTTTTTTTAAAATTATTTTAAATAATGAATTATTTGAATTTAGTATTAGGTGTTTGATTTCATATTATATTGTTCCTCTGTCGAATATTTGATATGAATTGAATTGACATTATCAGCAATTTTCTCTTTCAATTGTCTAAAATCATTTTGCTAGTCAAAAAAACCTTCTGTCTGTATTTACAGGTCAAACGACAATCATTCAGTGGTGGACATTTGTCATAATGTTTGTTACTTTTTCAATTTATTTCTTTGATATTATACATGTTTTATGACATGAATAAATATTCAACATTATATTGTCGTTATCAAAGATTAATTGTAATTAAGACCCATCTCACAGTTGATTAGCGTTTTCGTCTACATTACCTAACGAACGATAATTGTTATAATAGACCACCAATTACCAGTGATAAAAAAAATGATTTGGGTATATAACTACAGTTGATTACATTTAAATAGTTTTGTTTAAATATCTTTTATTGAAGTGATTAAAATATATATTTTTAAATTCCCAGTAGGATTTTTGCAGCCTGTCTTAAATAAAACTGTTTAATGTCTATGTTCTCTTGGGTGAATTTTAAACTGCTTTAAATTTTGTATATCCAAATTGAATTTCCTGTTACTTTTATCTTTTATTCTTAAAATGTTGCTTCCATAATTTTCAGCAATAAATAAACCTTACAGTGCCTTGATTTTGATCATCTAAAACAAAGTCCTCTTAAGTGATCTTGCTTTTCTTCTTCTTTCAACTACAGTTCCGCTGGATATGTCATTATTATTGGTGATGTTAAAATAGTTGTAAATGAAGACCTTAAAGCAATAATCTTTAAAGGTCCTGAATACAGGAGGTCCAATCTTTCAATTGGCGATAGAACTTCATTTTTTTCATGAATTCTGTTCAAGATTATGCCAGACGCTGGCCTAAATATGAAAGGGAAGACCTGAATGTATTCAGTGTTTTAGAGGTATATCAAAGAATCGTATTAGAAAGTTAACAGGCAATACGCGAAACATCTATCCTTCTGTTTTCACTTAATCGAAGGTGAGATAGCTCTTTGATAAAAGAGTCAGAAAGAGTACATAAACAATACGCTATGGTTCCATCAGACAAGGTTTGTGACAGCATCGTCTATGTTTGTAAAGCTCATTATTATGACTGTATTTTAGAAGAACTTGGTTTTAATTCTACCTCTGGAAACCCAACTTATACCCAAACTTCACTTTCTAAGGATGGAATTCTTCAAAATCACATTTCAGTGTTTAATACTTTTAACAATCCAGTCAACCAAGGTCAGTTCGATACACCCTATATATAATGGATTCCTTATCTTCAAACAAACAAAGAGTCGCCCGCGTGGCGCAGTGATAAGAGCGTTTGCTCTAGAGTCGCACCGTAAGGACTTGATATTTACGTCGCAGGTTCGAATCCTACTGCGGGACGTGGAGTCCGGTTCTTCGTATGAGACTGTATAAACCCAAGTCTCTTGTGGCAGTAGGTACTGAAACAAATAAGATTTCTCTCTGCTCAAAGGCCGTTAGTGCAAGATTATTTACCTTATAAAAGTAATTTCGGTACTGGCTTTACCTCGAAATATAGAATATACTCAAGCACATGCTATGAGTGCGATCAATTTTGAAACCCAAGCAGGCTACTGACAGATAACTTGATGTAACAGGGATTTCAACAACCCCGTTTAAAGTCAGCATTTCGTTTATTCTATGGTCGTTTTATGGCCCTGTTAGCAAATATAACCTATTATTGCGTCGAGTTTTGGTAAAGTTTTTTCATACCGATTGTTAGCCATTTGTTTTTATACATGAACTTCATTTGACTAGGGAATGTTCCGTCTACCTGATTCAATACTTAGATCTAACTTTGGATGTGACTGGTCGACAGGGGATGCTTACTCCTTCTAGGACCTGATCACATTCCTGGAATTTCCGGAAGTTCCGTGTTTTATCCCCGTACAAAAGTGTTTATTGTTTGTAGTTTTTTAATCAATCACTGTTCGTTACTTTAACCTTTTTCATTATTCCTTCTAGAAATTACCGCTTGATATTTTTTAATATAAAGACATTTTCAAAATAAGCTGCATTTTTCTTTTTCCTCGGACTTGTCGTACGTGTTTTCATAGATTTTTTAGGGACGAAGTCTAACGACAGCATCTCTTTCTTTTGTGGACAGATAGATGATAATATACGTACTCAGCTTTGTTAAGGAAGGCCTGAGTTCACATCTGTGATGCACCGTATGGGAAGTTTCTTTGTGACATCATTGAAAGTTTAACAAATTTAATCTTGCACAAAAATCTATTTCACCACATGATGATGCGTAAATAACAACTTGCATTCATTAATTTTATCTATTATTTATGAAAGCATGTAAAATCACGTTTGATAACAATACTGCCGAGTTATTAGAAGCAAATATTGTGTCATAAATGACGTCACTAGCCTTGACTTGACGCTGTACAAGTGAACCAGAGGCGTGGATCCATTGGTTTAATAATTACAAAAATGCTTACATAAATATAAAACCATCGCCAATGCTTAAATCTAATCAATAAAATTAAAAGAAAATAATTTATTTCCAACAATAATGTAGATTATCAATTTATCTCGGTGCTATGGAACTGGACAAAGACAGAGAATGTAAAGAAAATCGCTAACAGGATAAGTGTATACCTGATTAACCTCAAAAGTGCAAGGGCATAGACTAGACTGAGTGAGCTGAAATATGGAATATCAATTGCTCATATCATGTATATTTTGAAAAGTGCTGGGAGCTGATTCTGGTCGGAATAACATTATTTTTATTCATGACAGAATTTAAGCGAAGTTGTGTATTTCGGAAACAGCCCACACTAGCTCCCAGCACTTTTGGGGAAGCCGAAGTAAATCTTTTTTAATATGTATCAATTTTTTTCTCCAAAAAATTTGGGTATGCCTTTGCACTAGCCTCATTTTCTATCTTCAGCTGAACATTTCTAATTTTATACAAGTCACATGACACACAGCTGATACATGCAATGTAACTGGTACTGAGTAAGCCACAAACCTATCCGTTATGGATACCTATATTACCTTTCCTACATGTTTACAGTTACTTTGTATCAAAGATTTTTTTAAATAATACGTATAAAGAATATACTAAGATCGCATTTTCCATTTCCTTCCTTAACATAGCTGAGTAGCAGGCTATTTGGACTGCTGTTACAGGTGTAACATATGAAATTTGGCGATATCGTTAGGAAATACATATACTAAGTAAATACATACCAGGTAAATACATGTAGTATTAAATACGTTAATTCAGTCGCCTTAAAACAGGTGGCTTCAATAGAAACTTTTAAAAATGTAGCAAAGGTAAAATAATTTTAAAAACTTTTGTTATATTTTTAAGCAAGTGAAAACTGCGTGATAAAGCTGTTATATGTATTTTGTTTTCTAGTACATATTTTATTCAACAGAATTTGTTGAAACGCTATAACCTACATTGTAATCTTACAGGTAGTTTTTGAGATTGAACATAATTAGTTATCATCACCTTTCTCATTTATGAAACTTCTTATTTTAGTTTCTACTTTCAACAGCTTGAGAATTTCTGACGTTTTGTCAATGTATACTTGTTTTGAAATTATTTCTCGTAGGTTTTTTTCACGATTTTGACAATTATTTCTCTCAAAAAGTCTACATGTGAATCAATATTTGATTGAATTCATATCTAAAACAGTGTAAAACATTTGACAGCTGCATGTTTATCATGTAGTCCAAAACAAAATCGCTCGTGGTTTGTAGTTGGATATGATTTTTATCCAAAATGTTCTGTTTTTTCAGCCCTCGCCTAGGCTCGGGGATAGAAATCACACAACCCTTTGAATAAAAATCATATCCAACCACAGAATATGGAAAATTTCGTACATGCACGTTTATATAGATGTAGTTCAAATATAAAAAATAATCAATACCCTTGATCTAAGAGAAACATGTATAATGATGCTACTCAGAATCTTGATATTTTATCCAATCTTGCTAAGTGAACCATAATTGTAATAAAATGATTGTTCATAATAATAAGTCTTTAAAAGGTGAAGACAACGAACAGTGTTCAATCTCAGAAATCCGGTCAACAAATAGAATCGTGAACAGGGCAAAAACACGGATCTCTCGGAAATCGGAGGGGGGATCATATGCCTAGGATGAGAACATTTGTAAGCATCCCCTCTCGACCGGTGACATCAGCCGTGATCCCTATGAATTGATGAGGTATACGAAGTACCCCGTAGCATAAAGCAATGGCCTAACAGTTTGCATGGAACAGTCAAAATAAGATCCAGCAATAGGTTGTTTTTACAAACAGTGTCATTATAACGACCTTAGAGTTTGCGAAAAGCTAACTTTAAACAGGGTTGTTGAAGTACTTAGAACATCATTTTTTTTAAGTCAGTTACACGCCTCGGTTTAAAAATTGATCGAACTTGGAGCATAATCATGCGTTTCGAATTATTTGGAGACATAAACACCATATGCAGGCAATGTTGGAATATTACTACATAAATAAGGAAGTTGACGATGGAAAAGCTAAAGTCGTCCTGTTTGACTTACAGCTTAGTCATTTATTGGTTGTTATCGTCTATGGTCAGTAAAACATCAAAATATCAAACAGATTTGGCAAACTGTGCTGTGTCGTTTATTTCGAGTTCAATGGAATATATCGAGTCGACATGTGAATGAAAGAACCTTAAAAATGATAAATGTTCGTCGATATATCTAAGTGTTGAGTTGAAGGTCATTGTAAGAGTTTCTTCTCATTTAGGTTTTTTAGAAGAAATTCTGCTTCATAGAAATAAAAAAGAAACAGGTCGGCTAATAAAGGTGCACAATTAGTGCCCATTGGAATTTCAACAGATCCTTGAAACACTTGGTCTCCAAAAACTACATTAATATTGTCAATAAGGAAATACAGCATTTTGTATTACTTTATATATAACTTTAGAGTATATGTACGAGGCCATAAAGTTCAATGACATATTTTAAATTTTCTAAATGATGACCACACTGCTAAAAATGTTTGATAATATTTTAATACAGACAATGATTTAGAAAATTTATAAAAATTAAAATAAAACCACTATTTTTTCGAACGCTGTAGGTATATATGCAAACCACAGGGCCCAGTCTAACGTAAAGTTTGTTTATCATGCCACACTGCCTAGTGTGTGCGATAAAATCTATAAATAGGCCGTTAAACAAATCGTATACACAGGCTGCAATAGCCCAGTCCGACACTGCAC